TTTATGTTTTACTTGCCAGAACCTAATGATAGTGGATGGTTTATTAAAATAACTAACATAGGAGGTAGAGTCTGATTGAATTTGTCATTTTCTTAGCCAGTTAATAAAGTATCTCAGTTGTTTAATAGAAAAGAGGCCGCAGTGCAAGTTATTGCTTGCTGAACTGGTGAGCTGGGAAAGCCACCACTCCGGAATTAGAACCACTTTGTTCTTTGCTTCCCTTACCAGTGTCCCCATGCAGTGCCTCTTTACTGTCCTTGGGTGTTCCTGAAATTGTATCTAGACAGTTTGTACTAATTGTGAACACTGATCTATTTTCAGCAGTGATATTCCCATATTTGTAGTCATGAATTGCAAGTGATTCAAGGGTAGATGAGCAGAACAGAGATGCTGGGATTTGGAAAGTAGATGACGTAGAGCTGTTCGTATCAGGCATGAAATATGTGACTTGTTCTGCGTTCTTGCAATTAACTTATAGCTGACAAAATGCCTTTTTCTTTTCCAACTGTTGTTTTGTTTTATTTTAATGAGGATTTAACGTGGATATCACGCAGTGCATGGAAAGCTCAAACACAAAACATACGAAATGTGTTCACTGTACAGCAGTTGCCCAAACTTGGAAAGTACAGAGATATATTGCTGGAAAGTAACCAGTGGAGAGGTGGGTCCATAGCCACAGCTCCATTGCCAATTTTTCTGGCTGTTGAAGGTGATCATCCCTGTAGAAGAGAGATTGCTGCACAATGTTTACATTAGAGAATGTGCTCTGCCAAGCACAACCTGAGCCTTCCATGACTGCAGTAGAAACGTAGGTGAGGAGGTAATTTCACAACACTTGTGAGATTCTTTCCATCATACGGAATAAGAAAAATATATAAAAATGTGTGAGCAAGAAAATATATTTTTTCATGGAAAACATTGTGTGATTCCATTAAATCAAACTCCTGACACAATAAATATTAATATCATTCCTTATAGAAAGCTTCCTGAAAAAATCTATTCCTCAGCAAAGAAATAGGAAAATCCTGTCCTAATTCTGCGATCTATTGCAATGCAGATAGGAGTGGTATGACTGAAAACAGAACAACTTATTTTGGCATGCTCTGCCTTCTCTTTGAGGTTGTTTAAATTATTTAAGTGTGCTATGAAGTGCTTTTTATCCTCAAGTCAATCTTTGTGAATTCTATTTTAGCAGTAATATTAAAAATATTTTAGTTGTGTAATTCACTTTGTTCATCGTTATCCCTCGCATACAAAACAAGGTACCTGGAAGATGTCAAACCATAATCCCAGACTAATCAAAATGTGAAGCACTTTAATATATAATCTGTAGTGCACCTTTAAGGTGCCTGACTGTGTTTTATATAAAATAAATAAAAAAATGCTAATAGCAAACCGAAATCATTTACACCCCTGTAACACATCTTAGTCTGCACCTATGCTGTGATGCACTTCGGTGTAATTGACAGTAAAAACTTCAGTGTACAGGCTCCCCTGCTGTATGAATTACAGTTTTTGCTGTTTGTAGTAGTTTGTTCATACTCCTGACTGTTGTCTCCTGAGATCTAAAAGAAATCCTGCTGGTTTATTAACACAGTGAGCTTTTTAATAGTTGGCTTCTGATATGAAAGTTTAACTAAAATTGTGACCATTGGTTGAGAACTGACTAATGAATTTGTAGAATTTCAAGCGAACAAATTTGATTATATAGTTTATAAATAAGATTTATTTGGTTTCTGTGGGTTATTCTCCTGGATTAAAAGTTTCATTTCAAATAGAATTGGCTCGTTAAAAATGTCCTCCCATGCACTTAGTAATATGATTTGCATTGTCACAAACTGCCTCCATATGTAGCTTGTGATTCTGTACTAGTTTGTTTTACCTGGTTCATTTTGACAGGTATCATGCTGAATTACAGGAGTTTCTTTTGGAGTTTTAGGTTTGAAATTTTTTCTTTTAAATTGTTTAACTTAAAACCAAAGTCTTAAATGAGCCTAAAGTGGAACAAAGATTTTATTTTAGCTTAATAATTTCCTGTTTGCCCCAAAATAGGTGCTTTATTCTTTTACTTTAGCACAAAGTGTGAAAAATATTTTTCAGTTTTATCCAAGTTGATTTCTCTTCTAAATTTTGTTTAATTGTTTGGGGAAAAAAGCTAGAAGTTTCATTATTCAGACAGTTCTAGTTAATGGTTCTAAAGTATATACACACAGTGGCCTGAGCAAAATATGTGGTCTTAAGAGTCCATAGAAGAGCTGGTGTTTCTGCACCTCCTGCTTCGCTGCCTATGGAGCATCTTCTCTGAGCCTCACATCTGTTTTCTCTTTCACTCTGCATGGTTGAGTGGGGAGATTAAAATAAATTGTCATCTGATCAATAAAAATATTATAAAAAAAAATACAGCATGAGAGAGAGAAAAGCCATGAATGATAGTCTGTAGCCTAGAAGACTGTTCCCTTGCATTAACAATGATATTTTCAGTAGCAATTTCTTCCTCTAATGATTTTGTAGCCTTTGCTTCTAAGGCCATAAGCTGGTCCTGCCTAATCCAGACTTCATAGATTGATGGTGCTGTTAGAATACACATCATTCTCACAATTATGCTTCTGTTATGCTTCTGGGACTTCACACCCTACTAATGGGAAACCCACCCTCTTGTATCCCTGGGAGCCTGGAGAGGCAAAATGAAACCAGGTGCAAGTAATTCAAACCAAAATAACTCCATTAGCAGAACCTGGAAGAGTTTATAAGGCAGTCATTCTGCTGACAAGTAAACTGCAAAGAAAAGATGAAAATTGAGTCTGACTGGAAGATGGAAAACTGCTTTCCCTGTACTTGGTTTCTTTTTGTGTACAGCCTGAATGCACTGTGCTTGTAGTCAGGCATGTAAGCTCTTCACTGAAGCAGAGAAAAATGAGGACTCTGTTAGAAAGAGCAAAGTAGTTAATTGTTATTTTTACAGCTATTTCTTTCCTAAGAAATTTCTTTCCTAATAATCTTCATATTGTGATGTTTCTATGACTTTTCACTTTTATTTCTTACCTAAATGAGAGAATCAGGTCAACTCAGTTCCCACATCTAATGGCTTGTTGACAAGATAAAAATTAATCAGAATAGCTACTGTGGAAAAAAATTACTCCAGAGTAGCTTCCCCATGGATACTGTTATTCTGAAATAAGTGCTCCTTTTTTCTGATTAGCACATATTCTGCCAGACCAATGTTTGTCAAGTTTCTCAAGTAGACAGCAGTCAGATTGTAGAAATTAGTACCTTCCAGAAAGTCCCTTGACTCCTTGAACAAGACTTGTCACTGCCATATCCCTTACACTGGCAGAGCCCAGCCCTGAATGGCCTGACCACATCAGAGCCCTCTGCAGGCATCTGCAGTATCAACCAGCAAGAGATTTCAATGTCTTCATCACCTTTTCAAGTTTAGAATTCTGGCAGATTTGTAGTCTTGGATAATCTGCATTTCAGTTCATGTTTTAAGGACATAGGGAGTTTCATTCCTTGGACAAAAAAAGAGGAAACAATAAGATTTTTTTTCCTTGCAGTTCCAAGCCTGCTCTTCAAGTTTCAACCCAAAAAGCTCTTTTGTTTTTTCGTCAGAACACACTGAAAACTCCTCTGGTTCATGCTGTGAACTCCTCCATCCGCTTCCTGTGTGCTTTTGTTTAGACCGGAGGCCCCTTATTGTTTCAGCTTACTGACTTCCTAGCGGATTTCAATTGCTTCCTAGGCTTTCCTGAATATAAAGTGACTGTTACACTCAAAGTCAATAAACTCAACGTTACCCTGTGAAGTTCTTCTCCCACCACTGGCAAATACCTGTTGTTGTCTCCAGGACTTGGGGAATGTGGAAAGAACTTAAAGCACACACTGACCTGTAGCCAGGCCAGCTTTGCTGGATCCAAGGGTCCTAGGTTATTGTTGTTAGCTATCTGCAGTTGCCCTTGGCTCATTATCACAAAAACTAGCCTGCTGTATCTGATTTCCCAGCTGCAGCAGGATAGATTTGTTAATATATTTTGCTTAGCCAAGCGGTTACCTTGCTCAAGGTCAAGCAAGGATTTTCAGATGCCAGGAAAGCCCTTTTCATTATATTTGTTTGTTCTGTAGAAGGGCTTTTGCTTTCTTTTCAAAGTGAATATTTTATGCTGCTATTTACTGAGTATTCACAGAGTGCAGTGTGCTCTACTGAGAAAGGAGAAAGTTGGCTGAGGGTTGGTCTCGCACCCATTAAAGTCAATGACAAAATTCCAGCAGCTCCCCTGCTGGTGCAGTTTGCCCGGAGGAGGTACAGTTTGATAGGCTTCAAAGTGTTGGTATGAACAGAGCATGGAAAGTCAAAGCATGAAGTGAAAATATCTGACAGTATGTTGATCCTATAGCATTCCAATTTTAACACCAGGGAAATCCATACAGTGATATGATGACTCCACATTTATTCAGACCGACCTTGTTAAAAATACAGAGAGATGTCTTTGTTGAAGGATACGACACCTTCATCTCGCTTTATATGCATTAGTGTGCTTGTCAATCCAAGCAAGTTAGCAGCTGGTAAGTCATAAAATGGATGTTAAAGAACATAGCTGGACATTTTACCATCTCTTATTAAATCTGTTTCTGATTGAGTATGTAATTTAGGCAATTTGGACATCTAAGCTGCTGATAGAAGCAATTAAATGCCAATAGCCCAATTTTAAGTTTTATTTAGGTGCTTAATTTAGATGCACTTCAGTGCTCCAATTTTCATCATAAGCTTTGGACATTTAAGCACATGAATTTCACCCACAAATGTTGCTACAAGTTTGTCCGTGAAGAAATTCAGATTTTTGAAATGGACTAAGCATGTGTGTTAATGCTTTATTGAATTTGACTGTGTCATAATCAGCATGCCTTTCCATTTATTACATCCCTCCTGTGCTCTCTGCTAGTAAATGCGGTGCTTTATTCTCGAACCACTCAAGTTCCTGAACTTTCCATTCTTTCTGTTTTAGATGGCTTGACAGACTGTGTAGACCCTGATTGTTGTCAGCAAAGTAATTGTTACGCAACTCCACTCTGCCAGGGTTCGCCTGATCCCCTTGACCTTATTCAGCACAGCCAACCGCCTTTCTCTCAGCATCCTCCAAGGCTCTTTTATGATCGGATCAGATTCCTTATTGGAAAGGAAAGCACTCATGTCATCCCGGGAGATGTCTCATTTGAGAGCAGGTGAGTTTTTCTCTCAGATGAAAGGTTTTTCTGAATATTGAGAACTGCGATGAAATTATTTAACAAAAAAAAAAAGTGGTGATACCTGGATAGCTGAGAATTCTTCACTGGAGCCATGAAATACTAAAAGGGTAACAAACATTGAAGTCCCAACAGCTGAGGATCTTGGTTTTCAGATTATCCTTGCTACCTGTCTAGTTCTGAAAGTGTCACAGCAACAAACTCTATTTCTCTTATGAACAAGACTCTGACTGTTGTAGAAGGTAAGCTATCTCATAAAGTCAGCAGAGGGAAGTTCAGCCTTTCATGCTGTACATACAGTTAGTGGCAGGATGCAGAAGGACAAGCTGAATTAATATGTGCTGTATTCAGTCACCTTTCTGCCCAGTTGAACTTGATTGGTATTTACAGTGTAATAAATTTAACATGTGTCACTTACATATAATCCAGCCACCTAATTAAAAAACTCTTTTTTTACTACATGTTGATAGACCAGCGTTTACCATTTCGTGCCGCGGGTTTCTCTCCAGCTGTCGTGCGAAGAGTAGAGTGATCTCTGAGTGTTTGTGAGATTGGCTTTGCCCTTTTAACAGGAAAACACTGTGCAATACAAAAGGGGCACTTACTTGCTCAGAAAACCTGGTAACATATATTTTCTTGAACATTTGAAATATAGAGGCACATAAGATTTTATGCTGTAGTTCACCTGGGAAGCTATAAGTTACATGCTGACAAAGAGATCCACAAATCATCCACATCACCTGACTATTACCCTGTCAACTAGGCCTATGCATTAGATAAACCATGTTCCAGTAATAAGGACATAAGAATTTTTTTATTTTCACAGTACATAGCACATAGGTTACAACTCGACACAATTCCATAGCTGCACACAAATTCAGTGCACTTTCTCTTTGTGACATTAATTTTTAATAAAGTAAATTTGTAAACAGTCTTTATTGATCTGAAATACCTAAACATTTAATCACTATTAATAATGTAACAGGATGTTATAAATATGTAGAACGATAGGGCATGAAGATGAACTCTGTGAGAAGCATCCACCTGCCACGGCTGGATCTCTTGGAGTGTGTTGCTCTTATGAACGGTGCCACTGCATCTGGACCAAGGTCCTTGGCTGGCTGTATGTGCAAACTAGAAGTCTTTTAAAACAAAAGTCACCAGTGAAAGATTTGCCTCATCAAAATGCCTCACAGTGAGGAGTTTTCAGAGAGGAGGTGAGCACTTGAGTTGCCTGTACAGTGTTCTGTGACACTGCAAATGTTAGCAACCAGATTGCACATAATCCCATCAACGTGCTTTTATAGATATAAGGAATTGATCTTTTAAAGCTGTCATTGATAGGATTTAACTTGGATTTAAAAGCTTCTTCTGAGTGTTTAGATTCTTTACCCTGAGACCTGCCATGCCTTTGAGCGGCGAAGTTCCGTGTGGGAGCAGCAGCCCACCCTCACCATGGCTTGTTACTTCCTGCCACTAAGGAGTATGACTTGTGTTGGTGCATTGCTCACACCCCAGATATCGTTTCCTCCCACTGTAGAGACATTCTTAGTTAGTTTGGTGAGAAGATCCTTGGGATTCACGTGAGAGTGGCTCTATCTTTGGAATCAGGGCAGTGCCTGGAGACTCGCGCTGTGCCATGTCTCCTGGGGTTTGTCAGCAGTAATCTGCACTGTACTGGACACCCCGAGGGGTCCCTTAGTCCACACTTTGCTTGATCCTCAAGTCTTCCAGGCTGTTGAAAAATTGTTCATCCACGAGTCAAATATTATTAAAAACTGCCAGAATTTTTCTCAAGGATGAGAGATAAGCAGGGTCTCTGAAGGAGGCAATAGCTGAGCTGTGCTGCCTCTGTTCGGAAATCTTCCTCTGACATTGCCAATCTGACTGTCATCTAGTGTCTGTTCTTCTCCTGGGAATTAAGATTATTGAAAAAATGTAGAAAGACAACTGCTGCTACAGTAAAAACATCAGAAATCTGTGATCCAGCCTATGTGGTACAGACCAAAGAATGCTTGGGGGGTTTTAATCTCCTTTGGGCTATTGTTGAAAAGGCTGTGTCCAGGCACATGGTATTAACGCATGTCTGCCTGCAATGACACTGATTTTATGGCATTGGTGGTTCAATGTAAAATGCTGGAAGAATTGGATGTAATAGGGGCATGCATTTATTTCAGGGCACTGGCATCCACTCTCACTGGTGCTTCAATTTTGCAAAGCCCTAGCTGGCTTTTTTTTATTATTATTATTTCCCTTTTTCAAGAAATCTCTGTGACCATTAGGAGGATTAAGGAAGAAATATCTATCCAATGTTTCCAGCTGTCTGATTCAAATGACATTGTGCAGTATCTTACTGTACCACAGGTCAGTGGAGCTCTAGCATGGGTGATGTTTGCACAAAATTTCACTGTAGACAAAGTCAAAGTGATGTTGATTAGATTTGGGAAAGCTATCAAAAATGGTGAAGATTATCTCTGTCATTCAGACTGAGTGTTTGGTCTCTGCCGTATCCTGGCATTTTCAAAATAATCTGAAATACTAAAACTAGTTGTTCTGACAGCTGCTGAGACATCTATCCTTTTGCATTTGCATCTTGGACTTTAGCTTAGCTCTAATTTTTAAATATTTGCCTTCTGCAACACAGTCGGGATGTTGCATTGAGCCAGGTCTGAATACTACTCCAAGAATAACATTAAGGAGCAAAATGTTTGCAAAACATATTTTACTTTTTATTATGTCAAAGCCATGTCATTCGCACTGAGTTTTTACAAACTCCCACTTATCTGTGACGTGCTGAAAGGCAGATTAGAAGCATTCTGAATAAATGGAAATGTACTTGCTTACATCAGGAATGGTTTTGACCTACTACATGTAGCAGGGTGTAGCAGATTATAATGTTTTTGTCAACTTCTGTTCTCAGAAAGGTTTTTAGCTTGTTTCTTTGCTAAGTTTTTTTTTTAATGCATGCTACTGGCAAGCTATTTGACTCACTGCAAATTGCCTGCAAAAAGGGTCCAGTGTATGGTACTGAATTAATTACCCTTCAAAGGCTGCTTACAGCAACATTGTCAGCAGGAAGAAACGAATGTACCTCACTAGCCTTTAGCTTAATTTCTCTGATTGAAGATTTTAATCATAAATGTAATACAGTAAATGACATCTTCTGGTAATGTGACACTTGCAAATTCACAAGTTGCTTGACAGAGTTTCATATCTGAGCCTAATGTCTCAGCCTGAGGTGCTCTGAGAATATTGGAAACTTAAAACACAAAACAAAAGGAAAAAAATAGCAGATAAGTAGCAGCAGAGCAAGGCAGAATGGTGATGGAATAATAAAATGCTTTACAAATAGTAAAAGAATTCATCTAGAATTTAAACTTCTATTTATATTTTAAATTAGAGATGCCAAACAAACTGCCTGATGGCAGAGACCTGAGACCTGCAGAGCTGAGATCCTCAGTTACTTGTGGAATGACCCATGAAGCATTGACAGAGAAATCCTACTTGTTTTAGGCCACCTGCAACCTGTGGGAATCTCGGCTTTCTCTCAAAAAGCCAACTGCTCCCTCTGGAGTTGCAGATTTAGCACAGCTTGCCAGGGGACTGGGAACACTTTTAATGCATTTGAAAACACTAAGGCAGCTTATCAGGGACATGTTCCTGCCCAGCTCCACCAAATTAGAAAAGACATTTTTGCACTTACTTTCAAGTTAAAACAACTTGGAGAGCCTTAGGTCCGAGATTACGCAATCGTCGCAAATAGGTGGCTGTTGGACAGATAGTGGGAGTTATCCCCTGTGAGAAAGCAAAGCAGAGCAGTCACAAGAGTGTGGAATAAATCTTAGAGGCAGAGAACACAGTGCATTGAGGAGACATCACGATCTTTAGAGGTTTCTCTGCTCAAATTAAGAATGCAGTGAGTGGTAGCAAGGCCCCCAGCTCATCTGGGGAGAGGGTGGATGTTGAAGCAAGGAAGCGTGAAGTGGCAGTTGACTATGAAGGGACATCACTGCAGGGAACATGCTCTACATGCTCTAAAAGCTCTGGTAAGGAAAGGAATTAAGGAAGGTCTTCTGCAAGCAGCAGAGCTGCAGGGAACCTGCGTGCCAGGACACCTGTGGGCATGGGGGTCTGCTCTGAGAGCTGCCAGGGCACAGGGAAAGGAGGGAGAACTTGCTGCAGACTGGGGGCTGTTTGTTACCTCCTGAGCCTGTGAGATTAGTGCTGGTCGTAAAGTAACTGAAAAATATTTTCATACCTGCAATAAATGCCAAAATTAAAGCTAATTCTGATCAAGTGCTTAGTCAAAGATTTAGTAGATGCTGGTAATTCAAGAAGAGGCCAGAGAGTAGAATACTTTTCAACTTAGAGTAGGTAATAAAAAGACATTAAATAATGAGGACAAATGTAGGAACACAGAGGCAGGCTTAGAACATTTGAAATCTAGGAGATTACGAAGACAATTCAGTACAAACAAATGTAGAATAATGAGGTTTATGTGTCATTATCACATGCTGTAAATATGTGTAGCTTGTAAAATATGGTGACTAAAAAAGGAGCAAGTTGAAAGATAAGTCTCTTAATATTATTTATGAATAATAGGTAGTAAAGTGAATGATTAGAGGAAAGAAAGACTATGGATGAAATAATGGAGGCTTTGATGGGCTGTTATCAGATAAATCTGTGTGCTTGATAAAATATGAGGACAGAGTAGTGTCAGAAGACAGGTTTGTGTAGAATGAACAAACAGGAGTGTGAGAATAATGCACTGAATAATGATTGCTCTCAGAGGTCTTGCTCTCGCACCGATGTGTGTTGTAAATATATGGAGTCCACTAATAAAAGTATTAGAAAAGGAAAGACAGGTTTGTTGATGTTAGAAATATGAGAAAACAGTATTTTCTGCTCTAACAAATCAAAGAGTAATTGAACCTGGCTGTTCTGTTGAGTGAGTCTTGTGATTCTGTAGAGACACACAGGAGCTTGATTGCCTTCAGTAGAGCAGCAGGTTTTGCCCTTGAGTAGGGCCACAACCAATTTAGTTCATGTAGAAAATAAAAAAGTTGGTAAATCAGAACTCTGTTTTGCAACTGGCAGTAATGCAATCTCTCCCATTTCTCTGGGATTTATCAGATCTCTGCTGAAAATCAGCATCTTTCTATGTCTGGGAATACAGAATCCATATTAGCAACTGTGGTGAATGGTGTACTTGCAAAGAGGTTAATTTTCACCAGTTGCATTTTCTCAGGTCATAGTCAGCCGGGTTTGATGATATCATGGTGATAAATCCTGTCAAATGGCTTTGGAGAATGGGATCTTAAGAAACAAGTCAGAAATTTATGGTCTCCAGTTTGCACATATGATTTCATGGGATCATGGTCAATTAATTTCTCAAGGGATATTTTTTAAATTCATAAGCAGACTCCTAAATAACTTTTGTCTGAGGAGCTATAAAGTTTTTCCTGTAGTTCACATATTCACTGTACAATGGACATGTCTGTTGAGGCCTACCGTGAACTTTCAAACTGAGAGAGAAACATAACAGTGCCTAAATTTGTGCTAGTTCTTTATAGTGAGAAATTAATGCTCATTCACTTTATAAGTATTCTATTGTATTTGACCCCAAATGTCTTAATGTTACCAGAAGACTTCTGCATACACTGTTCACTTCATTGTGTAAAACCACAGTGTGCTGATGTGTACCTGACAGCAGGGGCAGAATACTGAAAGGTGTTTCAATGGAATGTAGCTGTGTAAGCCCTTAGGAAATCCCACTTGGTGCTAATCTACACCATGAGGATATTTTACTTCTTATACCTCACCTTTGGGAATGTTTGCCTCCTTTGCATTTCATTATTCAGTTAGGCAAAAAGCTAAAGCTGAGAAAAAGAGTCATTTCTTCACCGTTTCTGTGGGCAGGGTGAAAGCAATGGTCTTAAAGGGCAGTAGTGGAGATTCAAATTGGGCAGTAGGAAAAATTTGCCATGAGTAAAGCAGTCATACAGAAGCATTGGAATGGGTTACTTGGTGAGCTTATAGAGTTAGACAAGCATCTGTCTGGACTGATGTAGGTATAGTTGATCTAACCTGAAGCAAAGGAATGGACAAGATAAAGTCTTGTATTTCCTTTCAGCTCTCATTTTCTATGATTCTGTGCTCCTGTTAGCCTCCGATTAGACCCACTTAGTAATGAGTTCACTTTCCTGTCCATTGACTTTGATGTGTTCCGCTGTGCTGCCATGTTCCAACCTCTTCACTGGGATGTGAGGACAAAGTGGAAAGTGGGTGCAAGTCCAACACATCCCAGAGGGAATTTAAAAGGGCATCACATGTGACAGGGCATTGAGAAAAATGTAAGTTACACTTGATTAGGCACCCTGTGAATTTACGTATCTAACTTTCTGAAGTTCAGTGAAGACCATGTATCTCACTGCTGCCTTATCACATTAGTTCAGCTTTTTTCTAATAGGCAGCAATGCCCTATACCTAGCAGCAGAGAATGAGGTTTCATTCTCTCCTTTCACAAAGCATCACTCCCTAGAGCTGCAGCAAGCTAAATCACGCTATCAGTGAAACCTTTGCAGTGCTATTCAGTGGCAGAACAAATGGTATCCTGAAATATGTCTGGAAATGGAAATATACTCTACATGCACGAACAATTCATGGGAGAGTCTGTGTGTCATCTTCATGAGATAATGCTTTTCCAAATCAATCTTTTGGACTTGTATGACTTTTCTTTCAAAAATCAACAGTCACAGTGATATCAGAGCAGTTCTGTCTGTCTGGGACAGAAGTATGGCCCAGTTTCTGAAATCAATGCCCTTCTCACTCTCCTCATGCGTGTAACATGTTGTTTTCTACCCTTTCTATTACAGACGGGCGTGTGTCATCCGAGGCCAGGTTGTAGCAATAGATGGAACACCTTTGGTTGGAGTGAACGTCAGTTTTCTGCACCACAATGAGTATGGATACACCATCAGTCGACAAGATGGAAGGTCAGGCTTTCATTTATGATCTTCCACGGGCTTAGGTTTTTGCAGTTATGGCCATCTACCAACTTTTTTTTGTGTACAAAATTTTCATAGACAAGAAGAAAAACCCTGAACAGAGACGAGATTACAATGACATTCAAACTCCTGGAGTTGAAATGTGCCAGTTCTGCTGTAACAGTACCTTCTTGACATTTGAATATTTTCACAAGTCAGGTTTTCCAGGGAATATACTGTCTTCCCTCTTTTTTTCTGTTATTAAATGTGAATCTTTCAAGTAGTTTATTGAGGTGTCAATGAAGCTAACTCCTTTAGATGATCACCTGAAACACACAAGGAAAAGTGAGAACAGACTCTTTCCAGAGTCAGAGTTAAACTGCTGTTCCATAACAAGCCCTGAGCAGTCCTGGCTTCCCCTTCTTGCCCAGCCTTATAGGGCTGAGTTCAGTTCTCAAAGAGAGGTTAAGTTTCAATATATTTTGTATTGCACTCCAAGGTTGGCCATCCCTTTGCAATAGGGTCATGATTTGCTACTGAACTTAATTAAGCTGCTAAGGGCAGTTTAAGACTTCATCTTCCTTGGCTGTATTGTGAATTACAAGAAATCAGAAACTGTCTTCCAGCAGGGAAAGAGTGGTGTAATTTGTCACTGCTTCCACAATTATTCTCTTTTTTGTTTGGATTTGCCAGTTTATAAAAGTAAGGAACATGCATATTTATTTTACCTTAGTTTATTGACTTTCAAATCGTACTACTGAAAGTTAGTAATTATCATTTCCTCCTTATGCTAGCCTGGATAAAGTTGTTGCATTAAAATATGCTACCTGTATTTTGCTGTGAATGTAATCGGTGTCATTTGGGAAATGTGATGAGATATACATAATTAAGTCTGACTTCTTATCACAGTTTGTTACCATCAAAACCCTCCATAATAGATGCATTCAATAATACAGAGGGTGAAGCAGTGAAGTAGCTATTTACATATTACCTTGTGTTGCCTGACTATGGATGTCAGAAACTCTGGAAATTGAGACTGTATATCATGCCTTCTATGTCCCACTGTTTTGCAGCCCAGATATGCCAAAGCTTCTTCACAGTAGCTCCCAGAGGATCACCTGTTTTGTGTACAAGAGCTGATTCAGTTCTCAGTGCAATTAATCAGCATCTTTTCCAAAAATTTCATATCCTGCGCAGAGAGGTCTCATGCTCAGTGTACTCAACCTTTTCCTCCTGCTGCTTTTAGAAAAAGGGAAAGGATTATGTTAATAGAGCTTAAGGCCTAACAGGCTTTAAAACTTATTATTCTATGTGCTCTTCCTGCATAGATTATGAGTGGCATCCCTTTTCTGGGCTAGGAATTTCTTTTCATATAAACCAGAGTAACTGAGTCCACACTTTTGTTACAGATGACTTGTTAGTATTGATTCTAGTTGATAAATAGAGGGGAAGGAGGCCAGATAAAAGTGAAATTCTGTGCCTTGCCATTGATGCATAGGAGGGAGAAAGCACACAGAGGTAAAGCTTCTTCATGGATACCAAGGGGATGCCAGGAAGGCACGCTTGAATGACTTCACATAGTAAATTAAGGACTGTAATAAGGAACATAAAGTTTTTGTTCGTGGTACATTGAAAGGTGTGGTAATGTGATGATAAAACAAAAAGAAACAAAACAATTTGTTTTCTCTTTTCCAGTTTTGACCTTGTGGCTGTTGGAGGAATCTCTGTCACTCTAGTTTTTGACAGATCTCCTTTTATATCTGAAAAAAGAACACTTTGGTTGCCTTGGAATAGATTTATCATTGTTGACAAAGTTGTAATGCAAAGAACAGAGTCGGACACACCATCTTGTGACATCAGTAGTTTTATCAGCCCGAATCCGATTGTACTCCCTTCCCCCTTGACAGCATTTGGAGGGTCCTGTCCTGAAAGAGGAACTGTTATTCCAGAACTTCAGGTAATGAAAAGACTTTCAAATGAACAATTTTTTCTATTGCAGAACCAGGGATAGACAATTTTAGAAGGTGAAATCAAATAGTGAGCAAATAACTGCTGTAATGTTATTCACTTGGCAGAATAACACCAATGCATATCTCTTTAGTACTCTTTAACAAGATGCTTTTGTCTTTTTTCTTTCTTTAATTTTTGTTAATATTTAAAAGTGCTTTATTTCTGACCTCCAAGTAGAAGAAAGTGGGGAGTCCTAACATGATTTAATGTTGAAACCCTGGTTTATTTATGGTGATGGACAAAACTATTCCTAGCTACAGATGAACAGTATAATTTCCCCATACATCAGTGTGAGACATGACCCAAGATGCTTTGAAGATTCCTAGAGGTGTTTCATCTGCTCACATATTCTAGTTCTTTACAATGGCATCTCTGGCTATGTATTAGATTCTTGGGTTTCATTACTTTCTTTCCAAGGTAGAGCAATTTTAACATGATCTTTAGAATTGTTTTTTTAATTTAAATGTCTTCTTTGACTCCCTTAAGTGTTTAGAAGTCATTTTGAAGTTAACCTTGTAATCAGCTGTTCTTTAACTTGGACCTTAAAAGAGGCTGTGTGAGTTGAACACCCAGCAAAATACAGCTACACAGGTTTCGGGTCGTGTTAACCCCCGAGATTTGTAATATGTTGTGTGAACAGTTAGAGTTTAAACAGTAAGAAGTCCTTTGGGTTCTCTTTTAATTTCACTGAGCAAGTCTGGAAGAGACTTGCAGGCTACTCGTAGACATGAGTATTTCCAAACTTTTCTCTTTTTCTCATAAAACTGTTGCTACTTTATTCTACACGTTAAAGATCTGGTTGAACTCAATTATGTCTAAACACCTCCATAACTTTCATGCTTTATCCAGTGGATGGCCATAGCGTTTCTTCACAGAATTTACTAAGTGAAACTAATGAACATAAATTAAGAATAACTGCTGCACACCAGCAAAAAAAACCTGGGTCACCGTACTCCACATGAGGTGTGCCTGCTTTGAACAGCAAGGTACCCAAAGATGCAGTCTACTCAGAAAGAAACTGCACCCAATTCTTTTTTTTTTTTTCAGTCATTGGAGAGTTCTTAGACTGTTAAGTTTCATGGTACGGTACTGGGAATTGAACAAAAAGTAGCCAAGAATAATAGGAGACAGAGATACGTTAGCATGCGTTAATGCATGAATATTTCTTCCTGGTTTTCTATTAAAAAATGAGAAGGGATGTCAGATGTATGACAGAGAGGGCAGCTGGGATGTCAGCAGGAAAGAAGGGGAACACTGCAAATCAGGAACAATAAAGGGAGCAGGATTTCCCTGGCAACACTACATTTCATATGTTGAAACAACAAGTGCTGGCGGAACTCCAGCTGTACTGCAGCAGTGCTGTGACAGTGATATTGTTGCAGTGTGTAAATAAAATTGGTTTGAAAGTGGAGTAACCTATTGCTAAACAAGAAAAATTTAAAAACTGGGAAATGTAAACAAAACAATTTGTCTTTTTCCAAGAGTGATGAATTTAACATTGTGGCAGGTTGACTCATTGTTACAGAAATGCATTAAAATCATTAACCTTATTAAGCACAGTCTAGTTTTCAGGTGGCTTTTGAGTTACTACAGTAGCATCTCCAAGAAGCCATTCTCGTTTCTTGCCTGCTCTTCCTCACAGTCTGTCCCAAGGCAGCTTCTTTCTGGCAGGAGATCACAAGAGCTAAATCCCTTTTTGTAGCTCCAAGCCCCACATCATTCGAAAGGTCAAGGCCAAACTTTTTTTTTCCACTGACAAGCTCACGGTCTTTGCAGTCCTTCTAGTTGCTGAGGGCCTATCTCCATTGCAGTGGGAATTGATCCTATCCCACAGTGGGCATATCCAAGCTAGCTTTAATCCGAGTGATTCAGACAGCAACACTGACAGCAGGGCCCTGGGACTTGAGTTCTGTTGCACACCCTGGGGACTTACCTGTGAGCGAGATGACTCTGATGCTCAGGCTATTTCATCCTCGCTGCTGTGTGTCCCCAGTTAGCTTGTTAGGTTCCTAATGCTGGCCCTTCAGACACCGTGCCCCTTCTTGCTGGAGCTTATCCTAACTGCGCAGCTTTAGCAGGAAGGTTTGTTTTCTTTCTTAGCACTCCCTAAGTTAGAGTTATTACCTCCAAGGCAGGATAGAATCTTCACATCACAATTATGATAGAAAGTGTGTGTGTATTTAAAGAAAGGTTTTAATTGTATTCTGGTTAAGAACATTTGTTAAGTAAACCAAGTAATGAAAACAAGGTAAAGCTGTAGAGCTTGTATGTAAAAATATGTGGACAGATACAGTATTTGGTCCTCAGTAGATAAGAGTAAAGCATCAGAGGAAGAGGCTTTTTATCAAACAGACAGACTGCCATCCAGTAAGTTGACCAAGCAGTGTCTGATGTTGGAAATTTTGTAACGTGCCTGACTGCTGCATTGCTGAAATAGCACAGGAAACATCAGTGCTTTGAATGGCACTTTGTTCACATCATGACTGGGAAAGATAACCTAATTACCTGCTGTTATTATTAAAAATTTGCATTTTTCTTTGCTGTAGATATAATGATGTGGGTTTTTTTCCAAGGTGGTCCAAGAGGAAATCGCAATTCCTTCAAGTTTTGTAAAGCTGAGTTACCTCAGCAGTCGGACACCGGGGTATAAAACTTTGCTGCGCATTATTTTGACGCACACAACCATCCCTTCTGGAATGACAAAAGTCCATCTGATAGTTGCTGTTGAAGGACGTCTGCTTCAGAAATGGTTTCCTGCTGCAGCCAATTTGGTATACACATTTGCCTGGAATAAGACAGATATATATGGACAGAAGGTTTCTGGTCTGGCCGAGGCAATGGGTATGTAGAATCACCTTGATGTAAGCAGAAGCACTCACGCACATCAAGCCAGGAAAATACAGCAAATAAATTTTGTTGCTGCACTTACATTCTTTTAAATCAAATGCCTCTTTAACTACTAAAGTGACTTGTATGATTTCCTGAGAACATTTATTTTCTTGTTCTTTCAATGTCATCTTTCTAATTTAATCAATTTGAAAATCCCTTTTTCCCTCAGAGAATGGTTATGTACTAATGGCATTATATTCAGCTGTCTTTGGTTTTGAATGTTACTTTGAATATGACCTTTGGTGTGTCATTGTTTCTGTCATTTTTTGGCTGTGACATTTAAAATGTCATTTCCGCTTAGGGTTTGCAAATTCTAACTTTTAGGCATCCTTGCCTACTACATTTTATGTCCCCAACAGTTAAAACTAATTGATTTGTTGTTTAAAGATGTTTATACAAAAATCTTTATGTTTCGTAGACTTTCTTCAAGCAAGCAGCACAAGCTATTCTGAAAATTGCTACGGAAGTTCTGTCTGTGCAAATAGATTTTATTTAGCCAGCATTTTTTTTCATTAATTTCATTATTTTTTAAGGGCTTTTTATTTTTTTAATTGAATATGAGGTTACGTTGCTTAATGGAGTAATCTTATAGATACTTTGTATTAGAATTATTTATTTTACCAGCAGAGCTTAGTATTGTGAATATTACATCAGGGCAATTGTGACAAGCAGCATTGGTAGGTCAGGCTATAAAGCAAGAATAGCTAGAGCAACATGGAGCCATCCACCCTCACAAGGGATATGCTTCATCCATATCTTTCATATATGAAAATGCTGTTCTGAGCAGCAGCCAGAAGCTCTCCTCAGGATCTGTTGTGTTGTCCATGCAGGCAGAGTGCCTGCAAAGTGGCCTGTACAAAACCAAAAGGTGCCACACAGGCTTTGCAAGCCCTGCAGCTCCCAGATCATCCGTTCCCATATGCTCCCAGACAGGTAGTCTGTGAGGTGGGTGCGTGGAGAGGCAATGGGAGAAGGTAGGATTAGAGCACTTTCCTGGTCATTTCTCCTTGGAGAATGATGCAGGCATAGACACGGATGACCATGAAGGGTTATGAGACCAAAATATGGAGTAGGATTTACATCATACCTTACACATAGAAATATGTCAGAAAACAAGAAGCTCTTCCTAGAGCTGTGGTCCTACAGTCAACAGATATAGTGCAGACTGCTGCCTGAAGGGACGTTCCCATGTTCTCTCCTTACCCCTTGGCCCCCATTCACATTCATTTGATCATGAAATGAGCCAGATAAGGAACAAATTCAGCTGAAAACTGAAGAAACCAGGAAATAAGTGATACATTTTCAGCTTCATTAGTTTCTTGATCTGCTATGAATGCTAGTGCAGAAGCTCAGGTCTTCTCTTTCCAGCCACAGCTCACACATTATAATGGCCTAAAGGGATCCAAACTCCACCTTTGGTGGCAGGTGTCCAGAATTGCTGCATTATCTATCCTGTCTGCATCTGATCTTCTACATCAGGCTCACATCTGCAGAAGGATGAGCAACTTTTTGATAGGGCCAGTCAGAGAGGGTTCTGAATGTCCTGGCAATGGCACGTGGTGGGGAGCAGGAGAGCCCTTCTCAGCCTGCTGGGCTACGTGAAACATTGTGAGGGGGCAGACCCAGCCTTGGCCCGGTGCAGGTACTGGTCCCTGACAGTGTTTTCGCAGTGAAGGAAGGTATGAAGTGGGTTGTTGGCACATATTTGTGCAAACACAGAAATAAAAAAAATATTCCAGCTTGCCCTTTGGCACTCCCATGGGTGATCAGGCAGGACCAGATGGGTCATGAGGCTTTCCCTCAGCACAGCTACTTGTGCCCTGTGTCCAGAGGCTGTCACTGCACATTGTCACTAATGTATTTGAGAGGGAACAGTTGAGTATGCTGCTCCCATAAGAGTCCTGTAATGATTGTGAAGTGTAGTATGTATCTGGACTTTAAAACATTTTAATGCAAATAGATAACATCTCATGAAATGATACTGTAGTTAGTTTCCCACATTAGAAGTAGATGAGCTTAATGCGTTTAAATATGAATAAAGCTTACACAATAGTGCTGGATAACAACTTTTAAATTATTTAATTGGTGCTTAATTTTTTTTTCTTTTTCTTAAAGTTTAGGTTAATTATGCTTCTTTCAAAATAGAAGCAAAAATCTTGATATTTTAAGTGCATTGCTAGCATGCTTTGTTAGATTCCAATAAAGCTTTATTTAATTTGACACACTATTGGGACCTTTATCTGCATCCATTATATGAATTTTTGTCAAAATAATTTCCTCTGCCAGTATATTACCAATATTTAGTAATGCATTCTGTTCAGTTTTCATTTTAATTAAATTAAATTGCAGCAGGTTGAAGTCCTGGAACTCAGGATTATAACCATCTGCTTTTGGTTTTGTAAACACTATAAACATCTATATTTTTATTCAGGGTTATTGACAGCAGTGATCACGCAACCAGTTACAGGAAACAAGATTTTCTGAGCATATTTCCACACACGTGTGGTTATGTTTAAATTTGTAGGAGAAATGTTTGCTGCCATGTGTCTAGTCCTCAAGCCCCTCACAAGAGGCCATTTTCTCAGAGCAACAACTGAGATGACAAAGTAGCATTTTTTGTTCTGAATAAAAAAAAACACCATGTGGATGTTGACACAGAAAACCTCGATGGTAAAGTCTGTGTCCCCTTGTAATTTAACATAAGAAAAAGATTTCAGCCAAATGCTCCGTAAATGCTTCTGGGTAACTCCATACAGACCCCATCTTGCTCCTGCAAGCCCTTTCATCTCACCCAGCAGCACCAAGTGGTCTGCAAGGACAAACCCTCTTGGGGGTGAATGCAATCCAGCTCTCCAACAGCCCTACACCTTCTCTGTTTGTGATTCTACCTGGTATTTTGCTTGAGTTAATTTTATTCATTGTTCAAAGAAGATAGATGTTGATAAGTGCAAATACTTCAAGAGAGGTTAAAGTGGAGGTTACTGTCCTGGTTAATCGTGTCTTTTATTTCTTGCCTGTATTTTAGCAACAGCCTTTAGACTGTGGCACTACTAACCAATTATTGTTCATTCTTCTAAATACTGGTATGAAAACAGTAGGTTTCTTGGTGCAAATTATTTCAGTAGGTCTTCTGAAATCCATTTTGAGACTGCAAAGAAATGTACTTGCTAGCTGTCAGTGTCCAAAACTATAGTCACCACAAATCACATTCATACAATGAAATCTCAGTCACCTCAAAAAAGTGCTATAAATTAATTTGACCAGAAAGTAACACCCCACAATGAGGGGAAGCTGACTGAGATCTTTAATTTCACCTACAAAATTACATTTTTCAAAACCTGCCCCTAACGAAATACTTATTTTTCAAGTGGTGCTGCAATCACCCTGTTGACTTAAAATTATTATGCTTTGCCTTGATTACTTTGCATGCAAAATGACTGATAGGAAATTTTCATGGATGGTACATCAGGACCTCCAATTAGGTGGTTCAGGAGACCCCGCTTTAAGATCACACAGGTATTTCTTTTTGGAGCATAGATGTCATTCATAAATGTGTTTAAGTATGCATAGAAACATGGTTGTAGACACACAGAGTGTATGTCCACATGTCTCTCACTGATGAGAGGGGACAGAACGGCAGCTGTGCAAAATAACTGTGAGAGCAGGGAACAGTGAGCCTCTAAGAAAGGGGTGATAACCTCTAGAGGGTATTTGGCAGCTCAGAAACATCAGCTATAGGCAGGGAATAGCAGGTGCTTTACGGTGTTAACTGCAGTCCTGGTAAACACGGCGCAGCAGATCCATTGGCACGGATTCCCAGACAGTGGAAATTGTTATGCCTCCCTCGCCCCAGCTCTCAGCACGGTCCTTCCAGCAGCTGATGAACTGTCCTGTGGGTCTGTATCGGGTCACTGAGCCAGGCTGAGGGACTGCCTAATAGAGCTCTGCTTTTTTCAAGTACACACATCTCACCCAGGATTGAACATGTTAAAGGCATGACTGGAGTAAAGATGCTAATGTGTAGGTGGCAAGTGTGAGGTTGCTTCACAGGAAAAATCTGCCCTTTATCTTCTGTCTGCATTAACACCTAGAAAACAGTGTGTTGGGTTACTGAACCTTGATGACTCATCCCAGCACAGGATGTGGCTGTTCTGGAACTTCCATGCCCTCACTTGGGCTCTCGGCCCAGGGAAGTACCCAGTACACCAATCCTAGTGTTGGTTGTAAGATGTCCCATAACAGAAAAATTGGACAAAGTGGCTTCTGGACGCTCAAACTGAAACCTGTAATGTTCGAAACATACAATATTTACTGTACTGAAGGAGATGGGATTTTTACAAGTCAGAGATGAGCTGCAAAACCAAATTCTTTCTGCTGAAATAGTGGAGCAGCTCTAGAGCTGTTGCTGTAAGGAACAGCTTTCAGTTTGCCATAAAACATTTATCTTACAAGTGCTCCCTGCTAAGACTGGTAAAAATATTTTAATTGCCTTCCATAGTGGAATTTAGATGGTATTAAAACTATTTATGATTTAAGTAAAGTATACCTAAGGCTGCTACCTAGAAAAAGTGAAAAGAAACTATTAAAAATGCCAGAAAACTGTGGGGTTTAATATTTTTTTATTTTGTATCTTAAAATATTTTGAAAGACATTTTTATTTTGGAAAGGTTGAACTATCTCAATATTTCCTAGGTCAAATTTTGGAATTTGGTGTCAAAATAATATTCTTCGTTTATGAATAAGTTTCAGTGAAAGCTAATAAGCTAAGTAAAGGAGACAAATAATTTTTTTGAAAAGGTTGGTATATTAGAGAAACCAAAAATTTTAGGAGGTTTTTTTAATTTGTTCTACTGAAGTACTGAAGGAAAGGAAAGGGATTTTGGTCAATTTGAGTGCCCCCAATACCCACCACTCTTAGGGAAATTCAAGATTTTTCAGCAGGTATTTTGGTGATGTGCAAGCCTGGTAAGATAAATATATTTCTAGAAATGTTCAGCTCGTTGATCCTTTTCTGCCTAACTATAATATTTACAATCAGCAAACAAATTAAAACCATTTTGGTTTAACATGGATTCTTTTTTTATTTAAGCTGTTATTCAGGTAATTAGCAGAAATGCAATAAACAATCAAGTCAGGAGTCATTGGAGAAGATTTATGAAATCCATAACTGGTACAACAGACAATTTTCTGCTTTGAAACAGTAGTAACTATAGCTGTAATAACATACTAATCTCTTAAAACCCTTTTTTTTTTCAAAAAAATACCATTCAGCAATAGCAATCTGGCAGAGCAAAATTAGTGGGATCATTACTTGACAGATAAATATCAGAACTTGGAATGAAAAACTGTCTAGCAGTTCACAGAGGAAAAGGTAGACTGAGAGCTCTCTAATTATTTGTTTGCAGTGTCGGTGGGATATGAATATGAAACATGTCCTGATTTTATTCTGTGGGAGAAGAGAACAGTAATCCTTCAAGGCTTTGAAATGGATGCTTCAAATCTGGGCGGCTGGTCTATAAACAAACACCATGTATTAAATCCACAAAGTGGTAAGTCCTTCCTTTATTAACTGGCCACACATAAGAAGAATACAAATTTTGAAGGAATTAATTGTTCAGATTTTAAGTATTACACTTCCTAATGTGTAATCCTCTTTGACTGTGCACCCACGTTTATTGAGAGCTGAACTGTAAATGCCATCTGAAAGGATATTTTTAATGTTCTGGCTCCCAGGTATTAGGCATTAATATCACTGACTGTTGCAGTCACTAACACATTGTGGTCATTTGGGTGGGAAAAGGGCACACTAATTTAGGTTCATTCTCAGACAGCTGGTACAGAAGTGCCACATTTCAGGTCAGTCTGTAGTGTTATAGTCTCAGTGAAGTGTCTACACCCCTGATTCGTCCTGTGACTACCACCAGTTAGTAGCATCACAGCCCCAGGGACACAAACCCTGCAATGAACACAGACCAGCCAAGTGAGAGGCAGCACTTCCAAAACCACACTGCCAGTCTGGTGTGCAGAAGCTTTTGTGGCTGCCCGCTCTGGAGAGAAGCACAGTAAGTTACTCCTCAGTACAAGCAACCCAACACCTTTCAAAGCACTGGGGAAAAAAAAAACTGTAAATGCTTTTGGTGTCATAACATTAACCCTGCAAAGAGATTCTTCAGGCATGGACGCTTGAATCTGGTTTCCCATGGCTTTTATTTTATACCTGGGGGGTTTTCTTTTCCTCCATTAACATCTATGATCAGGAACCAGAGGGATTAAATTATTAAACCGATACCCGGAGATAAATTATGGTAACTAGAAATATATGAGTTTGCCAGTAAACAGATATCTCGCTGTCCAGGAGAAGAGAAACTTGGGGTCAGATTTCAGCACTTACAAATCAGCAGAGTATTGGATTCAGTAAAGTTCTCTCAATTTGCTCCAGCTGAGAGTCGATCCACTAAAATCTATTTCCATCTGCAAACTTCTGTTGATGAAGATTCATGCACAGATGTATGGCTTTCAGGTTTTTACAAGTTCTGTAGCTGAATGCGCAGCTACAGTATAAATATTCCAAATACAAAAGGTCAGATTTAGTTTGTAAATTAACTGGATTTCTGTTTTGATTTAAAATAGTTTGACATTTTAAACAGCAGTTCTTTCATATCCTGTCTTATTGGTTTGTATAGATTGTCTCTTTTAAATGCCAGCTATTGACATTTAACACAAAGAGAAATCTGACCTCAGTCAGCTGAGCCCCCAACTGTGAGCCCCATAGTCTGCTCCTTAGTGCCAATTTACCACTTGCATAGTTTAATTTCAAGACTAAATTGCTGGCAGTAACTCCAATTTATATGACTATCTGCTAACTGCAGTGGTTACTACCATAATTCACCCCATAGGCACTAACATGTTCCGAGATTTTGTAAAGTGTACAATTATAATCCGAGCAGGGCTAAATCACTGCTTTCCTGAGCACAGGGAATGTGGTGACAAATTGCTTCCTGTCCCCGTCTCAGCTGTGCAGCTGAGAATGCCAGAGAGCACTGACCTGTCAGCCTCCTGCCACCTCCTCTCAAATCATCTGGGCTGTGCCCACTGCATGAATGGGGAACGTGCAGCTTCTTGTACCTGCTCCTTTTCCTCAGATATTCCCACTGTGCTGGACACAGGCAAGACTGAAATCAGGGGAAAGCTGCCAAACATTTTTGTCCATCACTTGCAGAGACATAATTTGGGGAGGGGAGAGCACGAGCACATCTGACTTGAAATCAGGGGGTCTCTTCTGGTTACAGTTTGCATGTCAGAACAAATCCAGCGAGGGTGACAAAGCCCAGGAGAGCTCAGTGATGTCTCAGGTGTTCCTGATGATTATAATGGGCTTTGAGCATGCACACCTGGATTGTGTATAAGAACTGGAAAAGCAGTTAAGGGCAGAAAAACAATTACTATACCAAAGCTAGTGCACATCTAACTCATATATTAATAGCATGTTGCTCATTAAAGCAACAAAACCGAATAATGAACTGTATTAACCAAAGAATAAAAATAACAGGTGCGCTTGTGGTCTTATCTAGAAACAAGTGAACTTCTCTTCCATTTCAGATATATAAAATGGGCTTTAAATAAGGACAAGAATATGATTCAAACTTAAAATTATATATTTCAGACTTATCTCCATACCACCATATGAAAAGCATTGAGTAGCCTTCTTTAGTATGAATATATTGAGATTTTTCAGTTTTAAATGAAGCATCCCCTCTGCTTTTTAGAAGGATGAAACTTGCATGTTTTTGGAACACTGTCACTGGATTAACAGTAAAAACTGCATTGGAATACAACATTCTTGATTGTAAATTACAATTTTATTTTCAAACTAAACCTAGAAGCACTTTGATTGGTTATCTGGTTCTGAATAGCTTATATCTAAGTTCAGCCACTGAGCCTGGTCTGCCAGCAGGTCTGTTGCTGTGCATGACATTCCTGCTCAGAGCCAGGGTAGATATTCTCTCTCTCTCCATGAAGGCTACTCATTTTAGACATGTTACAAAATAAGCCAAATGCAACAGAGAAATTGTGAAAAGAAATAGATGCAATTTTGCAGACTTGCACTTCATATCCCAGTCTAAGCTGTGGAGGTACAAGTATTGGCATGAAGAAACCTTAGCAAGTGAAAACTGTGTTCTACTGCCAGATGTAAGGATTTACAAAAAGAAAGAAAGAAAAAAAAAGATGTCTGATTCCAGCAGAATAGATGTGAAATAACAAATACTGTTCCAATGTGGCTGTCACTGGAAACTCAAGCTTTTTAAAAGTATGCAGTTTTGCATCAGTCTGGCTGTTAGGTTACCAAAGGACCACATCTTGTTCTCAGCTGTACTCCACTACTCTTTTCCTGCTTTTTTTCCCCATCCAGTTTGGAGGTTTGATCACTTCTAATTTGTGACATTATTAGAGTTTAATGTTTTCTGGTACAAAGGTTTTGGTCAGTTTGGAAGATCATCAAAGCATTTCTCATAATCAAGAAGAGAACAGATATCATAAATATTAGTTCCTGCATAGTCCTTTTAAAGACACTTGTATCTCATGAATACAAATGAATGTGCTATTAACCGATTTTTTGGAGTATTATTTAAATTAAATTTTCCTTCTGATGGGCAAGTGTATTGATTCCATTTTTATTTATCTGGAGCAAGGAGGATTAATTTCACAGGGACTTTATGCTTTAAGGTAATTTCAACTCCAGTGCAACACAGCATCAACTAAAATTAAAGCAGCAGCTCGAAATCCTGAAATTAAGCACATGCTTGCATTTATTGACAGCAAAACATATTCTCCAGAGTCCTCATTATTTACTGGCATTTGTATGAGGCCGTTGAAAGATTACCTTTACATTGTTTATTTCAGACAAAGGGCAGCATCTTCATTTCATAGTATTTTTATCCAGTGCATAAGGGAGAATATTGCCATTCATTTCACTGGCATATTTCCAGGATGCTTTTTTTAAGCCAACATTCAAACAAATCTATGTATTCTGTCCTCTGTTGTTCAGAAATAATTTTTTGAAAATGTAATTCCCTTCAAAATAGCTATGGTGTTGCTCAATAATTTCTAAGGTGAATTTTAGTTTCAGATTCACCTGAAAGCCACAAAAATTAGTTAAAAAAAGTTCGTAGAGACAATACATAAATACATTTGCCATACTTTGGGAAAACTCAGACATGTCTCAACATGTACTTCCTGCAGTGTGCAGAATATGCTCATTTCCCAGCATAAGAGTTCTCCAAAAAGTAAATTCCGTTGTGTTTATTCCTTTAATTGTACCACTTTTCTGATGAAGTGCTGGGCTTCTCAAGGGAAAAAAGAGATTTTGCACTGGGGTCTAAAAGAATACCTATCTTCCATTCAGCAAAAGCCAAATTCTTGCAATTACGTGTTATTTTAAAGGTACTTCTTAAATATATTACCACATTGTTAGTTAAAATAAACACTATAGCGATCAGCTTGAGAAAATACGTCTTTGAACTGGTTCTGGTATCACCAACCTAGTAACTGGGAAGACTTTCAACAGTGTCTGCTGCAGAGCAGTGGTAAAATACTGACACACTGGGAAGATGTTTTAGCCTTTATGATAGAACTTAATATATTCCTGCTGGTAAGATGTTCTCTTGTGCCTCAGAATTGCTCCTTGACTCTTAACTTGGCCTTGCTGCACTTGCACCATTTTCATATACCATGAAGGACTCACATTTAAATTTGAATATTGATTTTGTACTGCCACTCGGTGCTCTTTTGTGAAAAATGCATAGTAGTCCTGCTATTAATCTCCTTTAATTAAATATTCAAACTGCCCAAGAAATTCCTCTGCTACCTAATAAAAATTTATGAATAAAATGAATATTAAAGTAGTAATCCCCAAGAAATCAGATAACACTGCAATTAGCAGTCAATTTGTTACAGCATTAACCAACCATGAGTTTTCCTCATGATGTTGCCTTTTAAAATAGCCACTAGCCACTAATGAACAAAATGGTGACAGTGAAGTTTGGGATGAACAAAATTGGAAGAGATTAGTGGAGCCCTGTGACAGTCTCTAAAAGATGAGATGTTTGTTGCTATTTTGATAGTCTGGTTTTCTAGAGGATTTCATAACCCAAAATTGCTGAATAGTTTAAATGCTATACATTCACTTGTTTTGTCTCTGTTTTCTTCCCTCCCCTTCCTTTAGGAATTGTACATAAAGGGAATGGGGAAAACATGTTCATTTCCCAGCAGCCTCCAGTCATCTCCACTGTGATGGGCAATGGACACCAGAGAAGTGTCTCTTGCTCCAACTGCAATGGGCTCGCCCTCAACAGCAAACTCTTTGCCCCTGTTGCCCTTGCTTCTGGCCCTGATGGGAGTGTCTATATTGGGGACTTCAACTATGTCAGACGGATCTTTCCCTCTGGAAACTCAATTGGCATATTAGAATTGAGGTAAAAAATTAATTCTCTTTCTCTGACCAGTGTCTGTAATCCTGGCTGTGATATGCTTATGAAAACTACGGTGAGCTTTTATCCCTTGGGACTTAGAGAAGCAGCCACATCTAGTTGCCTTGTGACCATGTGTCTCATCAACTGTCAAACTGACTTACCAGAAAACTTACACTTAAGTCACTGGTTAAAAAGGACATCTTAAGTGGCCTTTAGAACAGGTCTTGCTTAATGGATTTCTGCAAATTGCAGAATTAATAAATAGAGCTGGTTTTTCTTCCCACGGGGCTTTTCGTACATGTTCTCCAAAAGTTAAAGTATTCCATGAAGCATATTTTTGAAGAAAATCCCATAATTCAATAGCAAACATCTAGAGTATTGTGTCAAGTCACAGAAGATAAAACTTACCATGTTTAAAATTAATGCAATAAAATTGTTCCTCGTGTAGCAGAAGATGTGGCTCAATTTAAGCAGACAAGAGCAAACCTGGCATTGCCTGACATGCCACAGGCTGGGCCTGTGCTGCTGTTAATGACTGCCCTGCAATTATGACTCCAGCTTCCCACTCCCTTTGAGGGCCAGAGGGGAAGGCAGGAAAGATTTTGAACATTAATACATGAAATTTCTCTTAACACCCATGAATCTCCACTTAGCTAACATTGCTGGTGATGATTCTGTATGCTGATTGTTCAGCATTAACTTGGCAATGTGCAGGTGGTGCAATGGAAGCAGTTTGAGAGAAAGAAATAATATCCAGTAATAGGAAAAACAACGTTTTGTTAGTGGGATACAGCTCTGTGAGCAGTTAGGCAAAGAATACAGTTCTGTCAAGGACTAATATTTCTTGTCTTTTTTCTTTCTTTTTAAACCTGAACCGATCTGTCCTTCTAGGAATAGAGACACAAGACACAGGTGAGTAAAACACAGACAGCCTGATATGTGAACCATGTTCAAGGAAACAGTCTTACAAAAGTCCTTTTAGGAGTCTGTATATAGAGAAACACTCTAAATTTAATGAATATAAATGTTAATAAATACAAATGTTAATCAAGTTTGTAGTACTGTAGGTTTGATTCGTTCGCTTTGAAGGAATGAAGTCGCCCTCTAAAAATCAGTTTGCTGATCACCAAGCAGATATGGAGAGATTTAAACCTGAACACTGGGAGTGCATTTCATAGCTGTCATACTCATTTCACATGGTGCTTGAATGATCACAGATATAGCCATCCAAGGAAACTGGAGTTTTAGCAACAAAGAAATAGTTAAAAAGGCTTCAGAAACACACAAGAGGACTTTAGTGGTTCTAGGATACTATGAGCTTTAAAATCTGCCAGTTACAGGGTGTGCAAAGCAGAGCCCAGAACTGAGGCTGCTGTGTCACAGCTCAGTCCTTGCTGCTCCAGCTAAGGCAAAGTAAGTGGCTTTCTCCCTTTCCAGATGGCATTTTAGCATTGCAATGTAGGGATTTCGTTAAAGGAACAAGCGTTGCCCATTAGGCTTCTGCGACAGACGGTGAGGGAGTTGGTTACAACAATCCAGCTGCAGAAGTGATGTTGCATGCTAGAAAGAGACAGCAAGGCACTCTGTCTCCTTAGAAACAAACTTCTTAGCGTTCCAGTATTAAATGAGGTAAATAATCCAGCACCAGTACAATGTAAACTGATAACTTCATGGCATAGTAGGAAGCAATGTGTGTTTGCAGCATGAGAGTACTGGTTGGAATTGCTTGCTTTACCCACAAAAATGCTTTTGAACACTATAGATTATTTACCAGATTATGTCACATCTCATATATTTTACAATTAAAACTTAAAAAGAAAGAATAATTCCTAGTTGGTAAGTGCAAGGTTCTATTTTTTAATTGAAGAGTTGTTTCCATTTTCTTTAAACTGACCAGAATCTTTGTAAACTAAAGAGCAAATTGAACTTTTTTCTCTATGATGCATTCAGAACATGATTCAGCTTTTACATTTAGAGGTTTCTTTTGTAAAGTAGATTTTTTTTTAAATACCTGTTCACTCGTACTAGTTTCTTGAGATGAGCTTAAACCTTAATTATATCAAGTTGTGACAATAGTCAAGTACCCCAGCCCTATTAATTACAGTAGTAATTGTCTCTGTCACTATTCTGTCCAAGTGAAATTTGTGGAAAATTGGAGGAAATCACTTGTAGTTAATGTAATCTTTGAGGTTATAGGGGATTACTTGACAGTCTCACTGCATGGCATTCTGTGGGGCTGTAAAGGTCATAGTCATGGTAGAAATTTCTAGAATGCTCAAGGAAATATGTAGAAGCAATAACTGAAAGATGGTTCATGACAGTCCAAGCAGGAAAAGGCTTCAAAATCCAGCGCCTCTACACAACTTTTAGTCTCCAAACAAGCAGGGGAAAAGTGTTCTTTCTACCAGGTAAAAGAAAGTACTACATAAAAGAGGGGACCAGTAAACAGAGAGAGCCACTGGTCTTATTTGTGAGTGTTTAAAAGCAACTTACCCTCTTTGTTTTTCTTGTCACCAGCATTTTAATGAGATATAACAAAGCTGTTTAATAACTTGTAAAAACGGAAACTAGACTTTGAGGTTATAGGGAAAATTTTAGTACAGAACAGTAATAACTACTTCTGAAAAGATTTATTGTAAATCCTAGTCTATTTCATGTAGTTTTTAATAGACTAAATTAAATCAACTCAGATTTAGATCTGATTACAATCTTCTGTAAAAATAGCAGGTATTTTGTTGTCTTCCATTTTTTACTCATACTCTTTAAATTTAAAGATTTTAGTATGCAAGGCTTTAAGCATAAACATGAAGAGTTTTCTAACAGCTGGTCTATTAAATGTAATGACAAGGATGACAGAAAATGTGTCTACATGGAGAGTATATAGTGACCCCTGGTTCTCTGCAGTTTCTGCATACTAAACAACATGTTTATTTAAAATCTAGAATTCTCCTTGCAACTTTTTTCATAGAAGTGTTTTATTTTCATCTTTTGACTGGCTAGTCTCTCCTGACCTCAATCCAGAGAGCACAAATGATTCTTGATATTTTCAACAAACGATTTTATAGTGATGATACATACTTTGGCATTAATTGCTTTTAGCTCGTCCTCTTACTCATCTTTCATCATATCACTGCCCTCTCATTCCCTGTGGTTCCTTGGACTGGGTTTCACATCTGTTCCCCAGCTGTGGGAATATCACCAAGCATTGTCAAACCCACCACAAACAGAACTGCAAAGCTGAGAGGAGAAACTCATTTCACGATTTTGTTGCACCAATCCTAAGTGTTACTTAATTGTACCACTGTTAATAAAATATCTCTTTCATCCAATAAAAGGGATTTTTGCCAATCTTTTTAATCTACAGAGCAGGAAAGTCCCACCTAGAGCCCAGCCACTTGTCAGAAATCTGCCTCTCAGAGAAACATGGCAATGAAGAAAATACTGTCTGAGCACCTGAATGCTCAGCCTGTACCTCTGTCCCACCATTTCAGTAACCGTGTGATTTAAAGGATCTCCTCCTGTCTGGATTTTTAGTTAGGCTCCACTGCAGGCTCAGCAGGCTCAGGACACCAGCATGGTGTGCCATGTGCTTGGACAATTTCCTCAAACTGGAAATTAACTTTGCACTGAAAAAGAAATGAAAAGTCTTGCTGGATAATAAGATGCAGCCCAGTTCTCCGGTTAGAATTTATGATCCCCACCATTTAATTAACATATGTAAATATTTTTTTATATAACATTTTATAATCTCAATAAGGCACTGACAGTGCATGAATTATGGTGCATTAATTCATGCTTAGTTGCACTGGCAGTACTTGGCCTTCTGCCTTGCTCATGACAATACAGTCGGCATGAATTAAGGCAACATATTTCACACCTTCATATTTCCTAAGGTTTAGAAACAGATAAAAATAACCAAGAGTGGGCATTTGTGCCCATGCAGAACAGTCTGTGATTCACTTTGCTGCAACTCATAGATTTGTTTTCAGTGCCAAGAGTACTAGGACTTATCAGATATTGAAAAATGGCCTTGCTTTTGATGGTAATAATTATAACTGAGCTGAAGTCACTCCAGTTAGCTTTATCCTAAGTGGCTTGGTACTGATGGACAAAGTCAGCTAGTACCAGTCTGCACCAGCTCACTGCCCCATAGCTGGCTGGACAGGCTCTGCAACCAGGACAAGCTCCTTCCTTCTCAGCAGTGGTGCTTTGCATGACCCATGTTAAAGCTGCTCTCACTTATGCCTTTGTCCTCTTAAAATCATTGAGCAGATGTCTTCAGATAATTATAATACAATTGTTATGCTGCCACAGAGATGTAAAAGAAAAACAAACTGACTGTGATTCTCTTCTGTTTCAGTACAAGCCCTGCACATAAATATTACTTGGCCGTTGATCCAGTGTCAGAATCCCTTTACTTGTCAGATACCAACACCAGGAAGGTCTATAAAGCAAAATCTCTCACTGAAACGAAGGATCTGGCCAAAAATGCAGACGTGGTGGCAGGAACAGGTGATCAGTGCCTTCCATTTGACCAGAGTCACTGTGGGGATGGTGGAAAGGCGTCCGAGGCCTCTCTCAACAGCCCAAGAGGTAAGAAAAGACCATATCCAAAGTAATTAGTGTTAGTCATCTGTCATTTCTTTCCATTATTTAGGAACTCAGATGCAACTGGATGTACAAAAATGGGTCTGTGGCAATGATTTAACCAACTATTAGCAAGCCAAATAATTTCATACAGCTCACTCACATCTGTAATACAACCAGTCCTTTATGAGGGACCAGCATGGGGAGCAGGCTCCAGCTAGCATCCTCTGAATACTCCTCCCTCTGTGACAACACTCCTCTTTCATAACCTTTCAATTGCATGGTGGCACCATTTAATTATATCTAACTCTTAAGCAAATTATATGGTTTCAAAGTCCATCTTTTAGATTTTATGCATTCAGGTGAGTCTTGTAATGTTAACAGAGCTTACTCATACACATTAAGTCAGAGCTGTTCAAATCAGACAGCCAGCAAAATCAAGTTTATTTGGACCTCTAGTTTGTCCTCTCTTATTACAACACTGAAAAAGATGAGCATCTCCCTTGCTGCACATGAAATAAGCATTTTGCTGCAGCCATCCTGTCGGAGTACATCCAGTGTTGTCACAGGCAAAATGCATGTGAAGCCTTGAATCCCCACCAAAGCCACAATTAATCCCCTTGCGGTGTGCATTAGGACTGTGATAAAGTCTCTGGATTTGATGCTCTAAAGCAGCTGATCACCCTCAACTCCCACTGAAATCCCTGGAACAAAGGGTACTCAGCAGCTCCCGAGGCAGAGCCCTGCGTGGGCAGTTAGCGTGCTTCCCCCGCAGCACACTGCTCCTGCCTCGTGACTGGCCCTAGGGAAGGGGGTTGATTATTTTTCCTGAGCTAATAAAGGAGACCTGTACATCAGTAGGAAATTAGAATGTATATCCAGGCAGAAATACCTCTAAGACAAGCAAATAATGCTGTTTTAAGGCTTAGCAAGAGGCACATTGTAATTATAGAGTGACTTTAACATGTCTTTAATGATGGAAGGTAAGTGTGAGGTAAGTAGAAATGAATGTTAATCTTCAGGCAGCTAATTAATGTAATGAATCAATTCTAAAAATAGTAAAAAAAAAAAAAAAGGTTTTCAGATCTATTATCAGGAAAGTGTGATTCTGTGAAAGTGATTGATGTTTTATTGCTGATTACAGTTGATTATGTCCAATTACAATACAGTTAGTTGTTGCATCTTATTTTCTTATTGGGGAAATATGTTGATGAAAATTTGTGAGATGCTCCATACTTAGAGATGCCCATGCATAGCTGACTTCCTTATCAGAAGGTTCTAGTCACAAAGAAATTCAGAGGAATAAAATTACGAGTCAGGAGTTCTGGGACAGCCAGCAATTATTAAAAAAATAAACTGTCAGTAGACAATGACTCCTGTATTGGCACATTCAGTACCAATGACTCCCAGCTGCTTCTGATTTATATATCTACTCAAATGGTCAGGTTTGTTAAATTTTTTATTTTAATCTCAAGGAATTATGGAGTGCCACATGCCCTTTTTGTACAGGGCTTAGCAAAATACAGCATCAACCTGTTGCCACCAGCACAATGTGATCAGTGTATTATCCTAACAGCCTTATAGGTACATGACTTAGTTTTCCTCTAAACTGTAAGAGGCTGAATAACCTTGGAAAGTAGTAGAAACTATTTGCCTGATACCCATAGATCTATTATTTATTAAGAAGCATAAATGTCTCACATACTTAAATGCAGATTTAGAGATTCTTTTGGATTACTTATTTTGCTTTGTCTTGGAATAATTGTCAAGTCAGAAGGTGTCACATTTCTCTTGAAATAGTATTCAAACAGTAAACACAAAACTATTGTTTCTAGGACACAGGAAATTTTGGCAAAAACTTCTTAACCATGTTTAAAAATCCTTGGACACACAGACAATGTTATGTGGTATATGACCACAGAAATAAATTATTTGCTTCCAATTTCTTATCTCTGAGATTTTTATGGTGCAACAATAGCTCCCTGATAATGCAGACAGAGTAATTGCAAAGATATGATTAAATATAATCACTTGCATTACTCAATGACCAAACAAGATTAGTAGTTATTTTTTAAGCCGATATAGAAATATTTTTGGCTTTTTTACTTCATTTGTCTTCTTATTTTTGTCCTCAGTATTCTTTTTTTTTCCCATTAGAAATGAAAAACAAATTTCCCTCTTACTTGGTAGAAAGGTAATATCTGGAAAAAAACTCCATTTAGTGGCTGTCTGACCTCAGTCAGCTACATCTTAAAAGTTGTGCTCTGATTTTTGCTGTTGGCTGCTTGTGACTCAGAATAAGGGCTTATCTAGAGGTCTTAGTTTATCCATTTGCAAAATTGGTAAGAAATACCTACTGTGTAACACTTGTGAAACAATCTGTTTGGTAACATCCTCAAAAGTACGTTAAGAAATGGAAATTCAAATTCTACTTTTTATTTATTTCTCTGAATGAAAGTTCAGAATGTTTTAACTTTTCTGAACTTGTACCTATTTTTCTACTTCATTGGGCTTGCAGGGAGGTTTGAGGAGAGTCCTAGATTGTTACTTATTGATTTAAGTCTTTCATCAACTTTTATCTTTCATTATCTATTTGGGAAGACTGCCTTTTCCTAGTGACCAGGAATTAAATGCCAGACAGGAAAACATCATGAAGTCACACTAATCAATTATGATTTGATCTTTCCACAACTTTCATTTTGCAGGTTACAAACACACAGCTTTGTTCAGTCTGTTCCCAATTCTCTGTGAAGGACTAGAGATGGGGCTTAGTGAACATTAATCTTGCACTATTGTATGTTAAGCTGACTTTGAAAGATGCTTTTAAACATGCATGGCTGATGTAGTTGAAATTTGAACTTCAATATATTATTTTTACTGCAACTTTCTTTAATTCTGTAGAGATCTCAGACTAATGAGTCATGTAATAGATGACCAAGTACTTAAGTAGAATGTGAAATGATACAAGGTGGAGATATAAAATAAGATCTGTGACAAGCTGAACACATTTATTACACAAGAAGATATTGAAAATGAAGAAGTAACTACACAAGATATTAATCATTGACTGAATTCCAATCACTTGAACTTTACCAAGTAACAGATTTTAATTTTGGGGTGTGGAATTCTGTTTGGTGGGTTTGGGGATTTTTTTAATAAAACATATTTATGGTACATCTAGTCACCAACACTATCATTTAAACAATCTGATTAGTATTTATGATAAGGCACTAGGGGATAATGTCCTGATTTTAACTAGATTAGTCATTGAGTATTGGAGCAGTAAGAAGCACTAAAATGAATGGAAATACCTGGGAGTTGTTGTACTTAGCACTGCAAAGCCGGTTCTTGAATCAACACCATTAAACACTTACCTACACTGCCCTTCTGATATCAGAGGGCTTTAGATGTGTAAATGGATTTGACTTTCTAAGCTTAATTGACAGAGGCAGTGAGAGGCTGAGACAATCAAGTTACCACGTTTTTGCTGAGCTACAGTGTCTCCCAGTCAACAGGATAAGAAAAGTGTCCGATTAACATCCAGTTTCAATCACCTTGGATTTGTGACCAACTCAGAGCATTCACACAGGACAGCTGTGGTGGAAATGCAAACTATGTAACTGTGAAAAGAGCGAGTCCCTCCAGTGATTGCACCCTGAACATCAGAAGTGATTTTCAGCTTTTGGAAGCCCGAGGACTAAATCTAAAGATTTAAACATTTAAAGCCCTGCAATGTCTGCTTTTTGACTCCTGGGTCCAGACCAGACTCCAGAAGTAGAAGACAGATGCACGCACTGTCTGTGCAAACCATGTGTAGTCAATGCCTCGAGAAATTACAGACTGAACACTGAGTACAGAGTACTTGAATGCAGTGCAGTGACCTCACTCCAGATGCAGTGACCTCAAAGCAAGCACCAAGGAAACATAAAAGGTTGGAGAAACTTCCAAATCCCAGCATAAAAATACTTTATACATACCTGTAGCAAAGAACTCTTTCACTCATAGCCGTGGCCATGAGATAGCAACACAAATGAAAGGTTAATTAAAATATAGGTTCTGCAGTGTAGTTTTATTTATTTTGCTTGCAATTACTTTACTAAGGAAATATTACTTTAAAAAAAATCATGGATTTGAGGATATGCTCATCCTGAAATAATCAGTCTTGTTGCTCACCATCCTTAGCAATGCTTTCTGAAGTAAAAAAAATCTGTAAGAACAACTGCTCAGATTAAACCTTTAGATTTGTCAAATGGCAGTAGAATGTTTAGGACTGCTCCTGCTCAGCTGTAGGATGCACACAAAATTTTTAATCTAGCCTTTTGTATAAACAAACCCACCTTTTTCAAAGGTAATAACCAATGCTATTTTTACAGCAATCTTTACTATTCTGTAAACTTCTAAGACCTTTTCAACCCTTCCACAGAATTCAATAAGAGAAGTAAAACGGAGTGAGATGTTTCATTAGCAATACATAAAGTTAGAAGTAGACAACACAAGGTGATTTGCAGCCTCAAGTCATTGTCATATATGCATCATAGAATCAGCAAAAAAAATAATCTTGTGCCATTTTAATTCAGCAAAATTTATTCCTTATGTTTCTCTGTAGTAGTCTGAGCTACCTATGATTTCCAAAGTCTGGCAATCTTGTAGAACATTGTAAACTTTTTGGACAGCAAGCTTTCCTGAATTTTATCCAACCTTCCGCTGAATTCATTAGTTATTCACTTTTCTGCTGTCCCATGTCATGTCAGCAGTAAGCATGACCCCAATCATCATGTCTCAGACTGGAAGCTGAACATTTCCATTTGCTGTCAGTAGTTAAAAATGCTGTTTGCTCCAAATCTACTGTTCTGCATCTAAAGAGAACAATGCTCAAGTGCAAGTACTGTGTTCCAACTGACAAAGAACTGCTGAATATTTTGCAGCTAGTACTGAGACAGTAATGAAGTAAAGATGACAAAGATCACAAGGCAAGAGACTGCAAATCATTTGAATCATATTTTGAG